AATCTGTAGCAGAAAGAAGATAGAGTGAACAGTGTGAGCAGCTAACTGTATCAGCTTTCAAAGTAATGGTAAATAATATCAACTCACAGAAAAATGATATAATTTCAAAAATTGGCAAATATGTATTGTTGTTGCCCAAGTATATCTGCATAATTTTAAAAAAGTACCAACATTTTACAAATATCTGATTTCATTGCAATGGAAAATCTACTTTTGAAATGGATTAGTATTTAGATTCATTACAATATTTAGGATAAACTGAAACATTTAATATTTACTCTTACTCCTTAAAGAGAGACAATAGGATGAATCAAGGTGGACAAATCACATGCATGTCAATCTCCATAAAGGTTACTTAACATTTTTTCTTAATGTTTCAAACAGTATCCCTGAGAGGGAGGGAAGGCAAAACTGTACTAATCTGTTCTTTAGAAAATACGTCTTTGGCACATGGAATCAACTAAGTATCTATGATAAATATCACTGAATATTTGTGAAGGTATGACTTATTTATCTTATATAAATGTTTCTTGCAGAGAGAGCAAAGGGGCATAACTGAGCTGTAACCATGCAGACTGTAATTGTTTAGGAAAATACATAAAATATTTGACAAGGCAACTTTCTTATCTGGTACTATATTTGATAAGTTTCATTTCATATTTGTCTGGAACAGCTTTTGTGAATAATGAAGGCTCACTATACTTGTATGAATAATTTTCAATCTATTCTGCTTTCAACATATCTTTTTAGAATTACTGTATCTGCTGAAAAGAAATTTAGGAAGTGTTTTGCAATATATATTTGGCAAATAATGGATCAGCTCTTTGAATCTAATTGTTGTAAATAAATTAAAAATTGCAGTTACACATCTGTGGGCAAATCAGGAAGTGTTCAACATCAGGTTTATTTTATTGATTTTTATAAGAGAGATACTCTCAAGTTTCCTAATCCACAAGCAAAGGCCATGACTGCAGCTTAAAGAATTATAAAAGAAATATACAGAAGAATTTAGAATTTCTATGTCTGTCCAGAATTGTGTCTCAATTTAGGCTGATAGATCTGATTGTATTTTTCATCTCAATTCAATGGTAAAAAATCAGTACACCAAATACAAGCTAGGCAGATATGACCTCGTTGACACCCTGTCAAGGACCTTGGAGTACTCATATCAAATGACCTGTGCCAGAGCTCACTGCAACAGCATTGCCAAAAAGGCTTTAAGGCTGTAAATCTAATCTTACAAAGCTTCTCCGCCGGTAATACTGAATTGCTAACTAAGGGCATGAAAAACTTTTGCTAGACGAATACTCGAATACAGCTCAGCTGGAATCCACACTGTGTATCAGACATTAATACAATTGAGCAAATTCAGAAGTATTTCATGAGAAGAGTACTACACTTCTCTGCTTGCAACAGAATGCCCTACACCACCAGGCCTGAGATTTTGGGCTTGGACAACCTAGAACTATGCCGCCTACAGTTGGACTTAAGCATAGCACATAAAATTATCTGCTACAATGTCCTACCAGTCAATGACTACTTCAGTTTCAACCGCAACAATACAAGAGCACACGACAGATACAAACTCAATGTAAACTATTCCAAACTTGACTGCAGAAAGTACGACTTCAGCAAGAGTGGTCAATGCCTGGAATGCACTACCTGACTCTGTTGTTACATCCTCAAACCCACCCACCCCCAACTCCTTTACCCTCAAACTATCCACTATTGACCTCACCCCATTCCTAAGAGGTCTGTAAGGGATGTGCATAAGTGAACAATCGTGCCTACCGTCCCTGTCCGATTGTCCCCATTTATTTGTACCTATTTCCTGTATTCATATTCATGTTTATTCTTATATCTATTACCTTGTAAGTGATTGACAAATCAAATAAATTCCAGCATTACGCTTCTCTGACATTAAAAACTATGATTTTTAAAATATAGATATAAATTAAAAATTTTACTTCTATTTATTTTATTACCTGTAATATTCTCTAATGTAACAGCTAACAGGAAAGGAAATTAAATTATTCAGAAATGGCATATTAATACCCAGCTACCAATATACTATCCAAATGTTTATGGTAATTTAGCACCATCTAGCGGACAACATAAGTATCATAGGTCGTAAATGGATCACGAAATTACTTCTGCAGCACCATTGTAACTGCAATGGTCAACTCAATAGTCAGTAAACAAAGACTACTTGTATGATCATGATATGTTGTAACAATTCAAAGCAAGCATTTAATATTGGAGTGAATGTGAATCTCTTTTGTACAGTCATATACATCCTCTCTTTCAAACTCCATCAATCACACTACTGTTCTTCTCCTACATGTTCAGAGGTAAAAGAACCCTGGCGAAAGGTTCAGGAGAAAGTCAGCTACAAGCCAAAATCTTTTGCATAATCTCCATCACTTTAGTAACTTGCAACAGGACAGAGGGAGAAGCCTAAATCAGAGAACAATCGAGATTTCCAGCTCTGTACTACCGTAGAAATAGTGAAGACAGCATATCACCATTTTATGTCCAGATTATTATTAGAACAGAAGCTCTTGCAAGTGCAAAAACCTCCAAATGGGAGTGACAGAACTGAGTAGTGGAACAAAATGTGATTGCAGACAGACGTATTCCAATTTAGTGAAATCCAAAAAAGAGGCAGCTGAGCTCTGAGATGTATCTGATGAGGACTCAATGAACTGATGAGATAAAATAATAGAATCATATTTTATGGAAGATAAAACGAACAGGTATCTTACATGGTTTCCCCCCCAAATATAAAATTTTCAGGGCTGCTAGAAACAGGAGAAATTGGATTTAAAAAACTAACATGGCAAAAAGAATTAAAAAGTTTGTCCATTCATCTATCTCTCCTGCATTTGTTTTGATGCTTAAAAGATGAAATTAGTAAAATAATTCTTAGATTTTAATATTTCAATGTTCAGTAAAGCTTATTTTTAATGATATATCCATGGAATATAGTTAGTGAAAAAGGAGATAAGAAAAACAGACAGCTTTTCCTAATGAATAACTCAATAAAAATTGATTTCCCCATCCTAAAGCAAATTTAAACCCAAACAAATATATTTTTGCAGATCTACTTCATTTCATTAAACCACCAACACTGTACAACATCTAATGGTAATGACTGTTAGATATTCCAATTTACATTAATTTGCCAGTTTTATAAGTACGTCAAGAAACATACCGCAGGACACAATTTCTACAGGACACAAGGTTAAATTTCCTACAGTCTTTTTATCAATCATCATCAATCATTGTGGTAACAGGATGTTGGACCACAGAGATTTTTGATCTGATGCCACCCAACTTTTCTTAAAATGGGAGTTTTCTCCTACACCTTTAGGGATCCCACAGGGAGCCTGGTGAGGTGACTGTACTTTGTTTAGTGACTGTTGTTATTCTGCTTAGTTTTAATCTTTTTTTAAAAATGTGTTCAATTGTTTTAATCATTGTTCTATTGTTCTAATTGTCAGTGAGGGTTGTATGCGCCCCAGAGCCATGTTCAATGAGATGGGGAGGGGTATATAAATTTGCTAAATAAATGTTTTCCACTGAAATCTGGATCGACCACAGCTTTGCAGGAATACTTATTTCAAGCGCAGGGCATCATAATCTCAAGTGCAGGGCATCATAGGAACACGAGGCCATCACCCTGCAGTTTTGACCAAGTAAATATTGGATTTAGCCCTGTACCCATACGCCCACCAACCGCTAACACCTTCTCCGCAAAGCTTGTCCTGGCTCTTGTTCTTCAAGCCTTCTAAGGCACAACCAAATATTGGCCCAGGAAGACAGGAAAACCCAAAGGTGCTTTTTCAAGAGGCAAGTGGACTTTCTTGTTTTTTTCTTTTCTTGTAAGGCATTTCACTTCTCATCCAAGAAGCTTCTTCAGCTCTGACTGGATGGCGGGGAAAGTTTTATATCCAGTCGGAGCTTCTTGGATGAGAAGCGAAACGTCTTCAAAGAAAAATAAAAACCAGAAAGTCCAGTTGCCTCTTGGAAAAGCACCTTTGGGACAACCATGACCTGGATGACTGAGAATCTCCATTTAGCGAAGACAGGAAAACCACCAGCAAACGACGAAACTAATAACCAACGAACAATCCCTACCCTGGTTAATGGACAGGCCATGAGTCCTGGCACGTTTTAAACAAGTTTGCAGAATAGCCCCATTTACTCCTGTAGTAAAACCCATTCAGGGCCGCTTTTCACCCCGTGGACCGTTTCCACATGCATTGGACCGCGACCCCCATCACAACTGAGAACGATGGGACTTGGAATCCAATACATCGGGAGGGCCCCAACCTCAGACACCGGGCCCCGGAGCTCACTTATCAGCGGGACCTCGAGAGAGAGAGAGAGAGATTAATACGCCTGGTTTTATGCATGGCTTGGGAAACGAAACCCGGACCGCCTCTAACGTCTATCAAACGGGCTTGAGAAGTACGGTTTCCTTTTCCCCAGCTCAGGCCTCCCTAACCTCTTTATCCGTCGCTTTCTCGACCACTCCCAAAAGCGCGTAGAGGTCCAACTCCAGCAGTTCTTTATCGACCGCCATTTCCCTCAAGACTCGCTTCTTCAGACAATTCCCCACCGGGATGATTCTCGCTCGAGCTTTTTTTTTTTTTTTTTTTTCCTCCCTTCCCTCCACTCCTTCGTTTCCCCCGACAGCGATTTGGCTTCTGGGAAACGTGGACTTTTCTCTTTAGGAACCTCTCTTCTCCGGACGGAAGATGGAAGTCGAGCGAACTACAGTTCCCAGCATGCCAGATCGGCGCTCGTCATCGTGGTTTCCGGAGCCGTGATTGGACAATCGCCAGCTTTCCGGAGCCGTGATTGGACAAATCGCCGAAACGCCAGCAAGGGCTGCGTCAGGGATAGTGGGCGGGGAAGAGTCTCTCGGAAAGGTAGTTACAGAACAGTACTGTACCAGTTATACATCAGGGTCGTAGAAGGGCTGTAAGTATATACACCTGGTCGTCGCTTGCGGTAAAAGGAGCAGTAGTCAGACTTTGAAAAAGGCAGAAAAGGCCTACTGGATTAGACTAGAATATCAGATTATCAAGATAGACTAGCCTTCCTTTCATAAAGTTTCCTTAACCTTTTCCTTTTTTCGTAAGCATCTTGGGGTAACCTTTCCCAATCCAATGCCCTCCTGATGTGTTGTACTACAACTCGGATAATTCCCAATGGGATTGTAGTTTTCCATACCTAGCTGGACACGGTGGGGGTTTGGTTTGCATCTTTAAGGGGTGACAGGTTTGAAAAAGTGTTTATAGGGGAGTATGCTGATTTATTTCCCTAATTCACCATGGCAGTCAATGAAGAAAGGAAGGGAGAGAAAAAATATCCAAAAGTAAACTGGTATCTTTTCAAAATAATTAATATAACTGTCATAAATTTTTCCCCATTCAATAAAGTTTTGCGCTGTTTTATTCTGTTGTGAATAGAACCTACTTTTTGGAAGAAACTATTGTATGTTGATCTGCTGTGGGTCTGCTTCTGAATATTGTAAAGATAAAATGAATTATAAGAATTGTTCTAGTTAAGAATTAGGGAATTTGGGATTAACACATTTGAAAGATACTGGGTTGGGAAAGCTTAATCTTTGAATTTTTGTTTCTTTCTCTATGATTTTAATTGTTATTAGGTAACCAAATGTATAGTTTTTTTATTATTATGAAAGCAAAGTCAAGTACCACTGTCACCTCTTTAGTAGATCATGTTTTCATTGAATCATTATCAGCATTTTATACTTCACTCTAATTCTTTGTTCTACCCCTGAAAAGCAAACCATGGGATAGCTGCTTGCAGACAAAATAGAATCACGTTGTCCCCACTAGTATTTTTTGTGAAAACTCTAAGAACCAACTCAGCTGGCATCATGGATAAAAGGTGTTATGGCTGTGCATCAAAGTTTACTGTCTTCAAGAAACAGGTAAGTTTTTCTTCACTACTCAGTGTCAGCACTTACAAAAACTGAACCTGATAAATCTGTGTTGAGAGAAATGTGATCTCATACAGTAAAATGTGAAATTCTCTTCTGGTAGAATTCATTCAGATTTCATGTTTTAGATTCATGCTTTTGATTCCTGTAATCAGTTTTAGATCTTTTAATATATCCGTTACTTTAATAGTGTACATTTTATTTGTTTTTATTGATTATTTTTGGTCCTGTATAATACCCAGAGTATGTTGGAGTTGTGCAGCTGTAACAAATTTGAATAAATATATAAATGATGGATGCTAAGCAAGTCTCTGCCTTTCAGTTTCAGTTGTTTGATTGTTTCGTTTTTCTATAATTAAATAACCCATAAGGGATTTTTTCTTAAAAGGTCTCAGAAGATGGTTTCACTTTGAAGAGTGATCTGTCTATTTTGATGCATAGTGAGTGGAGAATTCACATAAAATGAATTAAACAGGTTACATGAAATATAATGATAAACTCATACATTAATGCTAAAATGTGGAAAATGTGTGATGCTGATGCATGATTCCATGTCATTTTTTTATGTTACATGGATGAAAATAACTTAGATTTTGAGAAGTGTTTGAAAGCACATTACTGCTTTTAAGAAGTTATCCAGTAGATATTGATGTTTTATCTGCCAGTGCATCACTGATGATGTTTTATCAATCTTAAAACTGGATGGGAGGAACTCACCAATGGTGGGGGGAAATAATTTAAAAAAATAGCATATGACACCAACTTCTTCCTAAGGAAAATATGAAGAGGCTTTTGCCCAAAAATGTCTTAAGTCTTGGGGAACTTTGATTAATTAATGATCACTATAATATATGCTATGGCACCTAAACTCTTGTTTTCCCTACTCTTTGTTTATTGTTTGCATTGCTGTTTCAATATTTCTTGCCATTATTTGTTTTAAAAAATAGTAGGATATGAACAGAATAAATGATATAGTATACAGGTGTTATATTCTGTGCTCTTGCATGTCATACGTGTGTTTTGAAGGAGCCTAGAGATAAAAACCTTGTTTTCATATTGGCTTTCTATAACAAGAGAATTCAATTTCAAGCTGGCTGGCTTGCTTATTTGTTTGTTTGTTTATTATACGTGTCCATCTCACTTTTACATGGTCTAGGCAGTTTACAATAAATCAAAATAAAATGTGTAAAATACGCAATGTAAAAAATAAGAGTACAACATAAGCAGTCGGGCATAATCTAACCCAGGGGTGTCCAACCTTGGCAACTTTAAGACTTGTGGACTTCAACTCCCAGAATTCCTCAGCCAGCTTTGCTGGCTGAGG